AGAAACATTATTACTGTCCAAGATCAAATCATTCCGGGTGCTATTTCACATTCCTAGTGAAGCAAAGAAAAAAAAAAAGGTTAATAAAACCGAAATGAAAAAAAAACAAAAAAGAGAAACTAGAAACTGGAACTTATTCGTAAACCAGTTCTCTAGGATCTAAACGCAAATGTTTACTGGTATCTTCATTAAAAAAAAATAATTTCAATAAAATAGAATATCACTAAACTTCTACTGCTCATTAATTAAAAGTTCTATAGTATTTTTACTCATAATAGACCCACCTTTTACAGTGTGATGCAACCTGATTTCTATGTAAAGGCACTCGCTACGAAGTTATTCATTTAGTAAAGTATTTATATTAATACTTGTTTTTTTGAAGTTTGCCTATTTGCTAAATTTGTGATTTTACAATACTACGCTATATAAATACTTGTGTAATGATGATCCGGAATATACTGGATTCGAAAGTTCTCCATGCTGTTAATATCCATATTAAATTTATAGTTTTCAGCTTTTTAGAGCCATTAATCATGTAATACAACGCAGTTGTTATGACCACACAGACTTTCTTAATATATGTACGTCATTAGTATTCTTGAGTTGTCGAAACTCATGGTTTCATCAGGCAATATGAGTTTCGTAAGGCACCATTACATTCATGCTTGTTCTATATAAAACCTGAAAATCCAAAATTTTTTATGTATCTAAATATTGTACAATCAAAGAGATGACTACTTCAAATAAAATTAGCTGCCATCAATTGGAAGAGAGCCTTTTTAACAAAATCAACAATTGTATCTTTTAGTTCTAAAGAACAACGATGATATTCAAGAAATGAGAGATGATATCAATAATATCAAAAAGCTACTAGATAAAAAACTGACGATCTATCTCCTCAAATTCTCGATATATATTGTCTTTTTTTTTTTATTAATTAAAAAAATTTTTAATATATATATATATATAATTTAGAGTTTGTATACTGGCATAGCCAGAAAGTTATTTCTGGAATACATTTCTCCTACTCAGAGCTTTTTAAAGGATACTTTTAAAGCTTATATAGATAAAAAATATTCTGAATATGCATCAAACCTTACTAGTAACCAAACAAAATATGGAAATATTTGACCTTGGCCAATAATTTTTTTATTGACCCGTATTACTACTTTAAATTATCCCAAGGGGTGGCATTGCACTGGTGATAAATAATAATTTTTATAAAATTACTATATTAATAATTTTGTTCAATAGCTTTTAGTAAAAATTAAAAACTACCGCAGTTCAATGTTGGCTAGAGTTAGACAAGCGATATGGTGTGTTTTTGGTTCAGAAAGACTGCTATTATCACAATCCAATGCCTCCGCATCAGAAATAGTTGAGTAGAAAAAAAAGCAAGAAACATGAAGTTGTTACAACTTACTTTTTGATAAAAAAAGTGATGGGGTTTATTGGATTATGATAATTGCAAGATTAATATTCTCTAAATCAGCCATGCCTACACTGACTGATGCTCATAATGCATTTACTCTAGCCGCATCTGACATTCTTTTAAACTCTTGGCTCAAAACTACCAAATGCGATAATAAGAGGATGAAACCAAGGATAGAGTGTTTTCCTGTAAGTATATACTCTGTAATTGCCTGTTAATATAATGCTTAGTAATACTTTTTTTATATAGAATGATTTCAAAAATGGTGGACTATCTTATCAATCCTCTAAATCAATTACAAGTAATGATGTTGCATGTGTTGAAACCGAACCTGGTATGGAACCGGATCAGGATACGGAACTAGATCCAGATATGGAACTGGATCTGGAACCAGAACCACCTCAATGCTACAAAGATTTTTTTTCTCGAGAAGAAAATGATCAATTATTCAGATTAACTAATAGAAATAGAAGTAGCTAATTATGCATTTTTGAGTTTAATTTTGTAATTGTTTATACCAAATACTGTATATTCGGAACTTTTCTTATGTTTTAAGATTTGTTGGTTGTAAAAACAACCTGTCATAAATTTCAAACTAAATATACCAAACACCTGGATATGCATTCAAGCGAAATCCTATTCAGCATATATTCATTATATTACTAAATCAAAAGTTTATTATTACTGAATCAAAACTTATCAAATTGGTCAAATAATAGTTATTCGGTCAATTTTTTATTTTTTAAAATTTATGAGAACTATAAGCTCTTGCTAAAGGTTCTAATTCTCATCTGAGAGCTATTTGCTCTTGTTGAAAGACTATACGGTAAACCTTCTTGACATATCAAAATAAGAAATTCAATAAAATTGACATATATATGTAATTTAAGATATTAATACAGAAATACAAAGCATTGCATTTTTGCTGAAAAATAATTGAAAAAAAGAAATTTAGAAAGCCAAACATTTAGGTGTTAACATATCTTTTATAAGTTGAGTTCTCAAGCATTTTTAAAGATATAGATGTATTAAAAAGCTTTTGCTACTTTCAGAAGAACTATGTTTATTAAACATGAATAATACAAGATATTTTAAAACTTTAATAAAAATTCTGTTAAATATTTTATGAATTACAATCCTAGATAAAACTCTGGTTAGGCGTAAAATTAGCCTTATGACAATTTGAAGGGCTACGAAGCAACTTCTATATATATACAATCTAATTAATATTTAGTGCCTTTTTTTTATTTCTTGTTAATAATTATTGATATATTAAACATGCTGAATAAACAACGATCTGTAAAACAATTATTGTATGGATTATGCTGAAATAACAAACTTAACTGAATCGGCTGAAAAAACATTCAGCCAAATTCTATCTGGTATTCTATAAAATTGACTAAAAATCAGATGGTTGTTTAATTTAAATAATAAATTGCAAATAATGAACATAATGAATAGAAATGCTCAGGTGTATAGACAATTAATCTTGTAATCAATATAAAATATTAATGTGCTCAAAACAAAACAGAAAATAATATAAACTAAATAATTTGGTAATATTAAAAATTTAACAAGGAACTACATTATAGCTTTTAAAAAGAAAAAAAGACTAAATTCCGATCTGACTAATAAAAGATTGGCCTGGTCGACCAGCCATAGCTTTTTGGATTGTCCCTGGTCTATAATTATAATGTATCATTATTTTATAAATGACTTTTGAAACCATCTACCTGGTCGAAGAGAAGAAGTAATAAGTGAAGTACAGTTGAAATCACCAACCCGATCAAAGAGTAAAACTTGAAATTTGTAAGCATAGGTAAAATTGTAATTATCAACCTGATCAAAGAGTAAAAAAAATTGAAATTTGTAAATGTAGGTACAATTGTAATTACTAACCTGGTCAAATAGAAGAAGTTATAAGCAAAGTATAGCTGAAATCACCAGCCCGATCAAAGAGTAAAAAACACTAAAATTTGTAAATGTAGATACAATTGTAATCATCTACCCGGTTGAAGAAAAAAAGTTATAAGCAAAGTACAGCTGAAATTACCAACCTAATCAAAGAGTAAAAAAAAATTAAAATTTGTAAGCATAGGCACAAATATAATTACTAACCTGGTCGAAGAGAAGAAGTTATAAGCGAAGTACAGTTGAAATCACCAACCTGATTAAAGAGTAAAAAAAATTGAAATTTGTAAGTGTAGGTAAAATTGTAATCACCAACCTGGTCAAAGAGAAGAAGTTACAAGTGAAGTATAGTTGAAATTACCAACCCAATCAAAGAGTAAAAAAATTGAAATTTGTGAGTGTAGGTAAAATTGTAATCACCAACCTGTCCAAAGAGTAAAAAAAATTAAAATTTGTAAATGTAGGTACAATTGTAATCACCTACCCGGTTGAAGAGAAGAAGTTATAAGCAAAGTACAGCTGAAATCATCAACTCGATCAAAGAGTAAAAAAAATTGAAATTTGTAAGTGTAGATACAAATGTAATCACCAAACCAGTCGAAGAGAAGAAGTTACAAGCATAGTACAGTTGAAATCACCAACCCGATCAAAGAGTAAAAAAAATAAAATTTGTGAGTATAGGTAAAATTGTAATCACCAACAAGATCAAAGAGTAAAAAAAATTAAAATTTGTAAGCATAGGTACAATTGAAATCACCTACTCAGTCGAAGAGAAGAAGTTACAAGCAAAGTACAATTGAAATCACTAATCTGATCAAAGAGTAAAAAAAATTGAAATTTGTAAATGTAGGTAAAATTGTTATCACCAACCCGGTCAAAGAGAAGAAGTTACAAGTGAAGTACAGTTGAAATCACCAACCCAATCAAAGAGTAAAAAAATTGAAATTTGTGAGCGTAGATAAAATTATAATCACCAACCTGATCAAAGAGTAAAAAAAATTGAAATTTGTAAGCGTAGGTACAATTGAAATCACCTACCCAGTCGAAGAGAAGAAGTTACAAGCGAAATACAATTGAAATCACTAACCCGATCAAAAAGTAAAAAAAAATTGAAATTTGTAAGCATAGGTACAAATGTAATCACCAACCCAGTTGAAGAGAAGAAGTTACAAGCGAAGTACAGTTGAAATCACCTACCTGGTCAAAGAGAAGAAGCTATAAGCGAAGTACAGTTGAAATCACTAACCCGATCAAAGAGAAAAAAAATTGAAATTTGTAAGTGTAGGTGCAAATGTAATCACCAACCCAGTCGAAGAGAACAAAAAATTGAAATTTGTAAGTGTAGGTATAATTGTAATCACCTACCTGGTCAAAGAGAACAAATTGTAAACTTAGGTACAATTGAAATTATCTACCCGGTCAAAAAGAAGAAGTTATAAGCAAAGTACAGTTAAAATCACCAACCCAGTCAAAGAATAAACCTAAAAAAAATTTATTAGCCGAATAATGATAACTATAAACATTGTTTACAATAGTCATTGCTTTTAATTTTTAGACGATTATCAATTAGAGTTTAACAATCGATTATAATCACCCATACCGATGATTATCGATATTTTTTGATTAATGATCATCGATTATTAGTTAATAATTATTATTAATCGGCTAAAAAAATTTCCTGATGTATAAAGTTTCTAGCTTGTTTGTTGGACATAAAAATTGGTCATATTTCAGTGAAGTCCTCTTTTGTGATCAGACTTCTTATCTATTCTTTTCTTTTTCATAGCTTAGCAGCAAGGCTTTCTTTTCCTATCATCAGTATTGTACATAGACATATGTCCAAGCAAATTATTGGACATGAACAGTTTATGAATACAATATTTAATGTCCATGAACATGGACATAGACATATTTTTATATGTTTATGGATATGGATATCCATATTTTTATATGTCCATGTCCATAGATGTCTATATGGACAGTCCATGGACATATCCATGTCCACTGACAACACTGCCTATCATAACTAGGATTTTCTCTTTCTTTTTAGCCAAGTCTTGTATTTCTTCTATTTCTTTAAGAGTCATTTCTACTTCTTGCTCTTCAATATCTCGAATTAGCTTTATCGACACTTTACAGCTTACTAGATGTTTAATATTTTCCACTTTATTATTGTATATAATATATCTATTAGTTTTGTATATTTTAGATTTTCTTCAAATTGAGCTTTTCAAACACTGGCAAAACATTGTTTATACATTTAATTCAAAAAGCTGTATAGTATTTAATTCATAAGTGTAATCACACTACTTAATTCCACTTTCTAAGATTTTATAAAAAATTGGCCAGTACTGTAGAGTCACTCTTTCTTGATGTGTGGTATTCTGACTACTATAAAAGAACTTCTATTCTACTCTATAAATAAAGACTAGGTGCTGTCACCACCAGTGACTAGTGCTCTGAATCAGGTCAGGTCAACCTGAAACCCGACCCAAAATTTCAAGTTGGGTCAGGTTCAGGTTAGAAATATCTGACCCGAAAATTTCAGGTTAGGTTCGGGTTGAATGTCAACCTGACCCGACCCGAAAATTATCCAATTTATAGATGTGCGAAATTAGCATTTTATATTTTTTTTTTGTTCTAATAGCCAAGTGTATATGTATTTTTAAATAATATTTTAAATAAAACAGTCAAGTATGCACCAATCAGATTTCTTCAAACGATCGACACAAAATTGTCACTCGATTTTTGATTGGTTAACAGCTGCAGATCTGCAAATTTTGGCCAACATTACATAATTGTTTACTAATTTTTAGCTGTAATTAACTTTTGATTTTTTTTCATTACAAAAATAGTAAAATTGACCCAGGAACAATTTTCACTTAATAGGCTTTGTGGTTAAATTAGTAGAATTCTGAGTAATTCCCCCATCCAAATTTTTTGTTCATCGCTCTTAGCCAATCAAAATTGAGAATCTGCTGTGAGTACAATATGAAAATCACATGCACTACTTGAAATTTCGACTATGAAACCACGTTCTGTGCTCTAATATAAAAAATTTCTAATTTCTAATTTAACTTTAACATATATTTTTTACTTTAAAATATTACGCATATTGAAATTAGTTTGATTCAACGAAGAGATCTGATTGGTGCATATTTGTTGACATCTCAAGCCAATGAAATTAAAAATCTCTAGTAATAATATTATATACTTTTTTCGAACCTTTAATGAAAATATCTCAGCAATTACTTTATCTAATTGATCAAAGTTTGAAGAAACTTAACTGCTGACTTTGTTTTAACAATCGCCTAAATTCTTTAACTTCGAACAATAATTTCTTGACAGCAAATCAGTAAAGTTTTTTATATTAATTTCATAAATCCATAGGAAAATAATAAAAAAACTTAGATTTTGAATAAGCAATGCACAATTCTTACTGTAGTAGCCTGCTGAGTTTATAAGCATACCTTGCTTAGATTTGATTAGCCAACTTCGATAATCATCGTTACATGAATTATTAAACATTTAAGAGCAAAAAAGGCTATTTGAATTCATTTTTTAAAAAAATTTAATATATTTGCCCTAAAATTTCGGGTCTGATTCGGGTTGGTCGGGTCGAGTCGGGTTTGGTTCAGGTTGAAACTCTAACCCAAAAATTTTTAATCCGACCTGACCCGAAATTTTGGGTCGGGTTCAGATTGGCTCATAATTCAACCTGACCCGTTTGGAGCACTACAAGTGACAAATAGATTATTTCAATAAATCAAGCGCTCTATTTGTCAAAATATACGTTTTGCTGAGCAATCGAGCAAAATTTTAATCTAGTTAATATGTAATTTACAGAGGAGATACAATTTAAAGTTTAAAAATCTTATATTAAATGATTATAAAAAATTATCAAATTTCAAATTGTATCTTTTCAATAATTTACATATTAACTTCTTTAAAAATTTTACTCAATTGCTCAGCAGACTCTATATTTTAGACTTTTTTTAAAAAAATAAAAATTTTGTAATAAATTTGATAATAATTTGTCGAAATTTGAGTTTTTTAATATGAATCATCTTCATTACACAAAAATTTAACTAGTTATTTTACTGAGACTATACATAAATTTGATTCCCAATGTGTAGCCAATCATTTGTCAAATTACTGTATTCAACAATTTACCTAATAATGGTGTTATCCGACAATTTATGATCATGATTGGTAGAGAGTCACTCACTAAGCTTTTAATTTGAATATTGGAATAAATGTAATTATATCATAACACATAAAAAAATAACAAAAATAAAGTTTCATAATCATGAGTTTGTCAGATAACATATATTTAAAGGTTGGTAAACAAATGCGCAAACATACATATGGTATTTTACTATGTGGTACTGCTTGTACTAATTCTGATTAGTAAATATTAAAAAAAACAATGTAACTCATATATATATATATATTTTTTATTTTTTATTTTTTTAATATTAAGGTGACCACTTAGGCCCTGGCACTTTATTAGTTCAAACGGGTGGGCCATCTGAAGACGGCTTACATATTACATCAGTATAACGAGAGTACAACTAGTCATACGTACAACTTTTGGTTGCCTATTTAAGTAGTCCGCCCGAAGCGTTAGTGCTATGCTAAGAGTTCTACACTAGCTGTTATACATATAGCCTAACTAGGAAGCGTAACTCATATATTTATTTTTTCAACATTAGGATTTCATATTTAAAAAAATGGATTCTAATAAAATTCATAAACTCGGATATACTGGTGATCATAAATAATGCATCAAAAAAAAAAATTTCGTTAAATCGAATTTTCTCATGCAATTCCACGTGTATCTTTTTACTTTTTTTATTTGTAAATACTATCCCTTTCACCAGTAAAAATTTTATCAATTAAATTTTTTTGATGCATGAGCTTTATTTGAATTCACATGCTGCATCTCTTTTGCTCGTTTTTACAACAGCACAAACGTAAAATACAAAAAATTTTTTGTACACTAAAAAAACAATTTTTTTTCTATTTAATTCCTCTACACGTTTACCATCTAGTATAGCCGCCCCGAGCCCTAATAATGTCGCAAACTCATTCTGGCATTGAACGAATCAAGTTCATACAGGTCTCAAGATCGATCTGCTCCCACACCACCTGAATTTTCTCCCAGAGGTCTCTTTCACTCGAAATATTGCCAGGGAGCCTTCTCAAGTGACAGCCAACTTCAGCCTACAGGTGTTCGATAGGGTTTAGATTGGGGACGCAGGAGGCCACTTGAAGATTCTAATTCCATTTCTTCTAAACCAACGTTTGGTTAAGATTGCAGTATGGCAAGAGGCACCATCTTGCTGAAAAATTATATTCTGCGCTCTAAATCCGTGATTCCTCACAGTTCCCAGAAGGTCGTCACGAAGAATCAGCCAATACAAGTCACCATCTATCATACTATCGATTTTACAAAACCCTCCAATGCCACAGGATGTAAAGCAACCCCAGATAATAACGGAGCAACCTCCATGCTTCACTTTTGGTTGTACGTGGAAGCGGTTCAACAATTCTTCAGGACGCTTCCAGTAGTACTGCTTCCTATCAGAGCCAAAAATTTGGAACTGTGATTTGTCTGACCAAATTATCTTTGACCATTCTTCAACGGACCAGTCTTCGTGTTTTTTGCAAAAATTGAGCCACGCTTTTTGGTAACCAGCGCTTAGGAATAGTTTTTTTTGCTTGATTCCCAAAATCAAACCATGCTCCCAGAGTATACAACAAATAGTAGAAGCCGTAACTTTGAGATTTTCCTTTTCTTTCAGGTGGGAGACCACCTGTATAGCTGTAGAGCAGCGTCGAGAGGTAATAAGGTTCACAATCTTCATTTGGGCTGGTTCACCCAACGAAGGTGGGCAACCAACCCTTCCTAAATCTTGAAGCATATGGTGCTCAAGCCACCTTTTCTTGATACAGGAGATGGTGGAGGAGGCAATATGGCAAGTCCAGCCTATAGCCCTCGTCATGTATCCTTTTTGCAGGAAGAGCAAAATTTGTGCCCTTTGAGCGGGAGTGGTATGGTTCTTTTTTTTGTT